TCTGAAATGTGTTTGTTAGCATGCTAATTAGCACTAAACACAAAGTGCTGCCGAGGCTGACGGGAAAGTCAGTTTGTTTTGCAGGTATTTAGTCATAAACCAAATGACTGGATACATTGAACTGTGACGATGGCAAAAGAAGTCAGGGTGTTATAAAAGTTATGACGATTCATCCCAAGTGGGACATGAAAACAAATTTCATGACATTCCATCCAATAGAGAGAGACATGTCAATCACTTTACAGAAGAATTAGTCCCTATGAAAACTGGTCACAGCGAGGCATGTGAGTTATTCAAAAGAGTCTTGAGGGGTGACCAAAATAAGATGGCACACTTAAAACCCAAACTATCTCCGTGGTTATATACCACTCGAGGAAAGTAAGATTTTGTTTATAATTTGGGTGACTTTACTTTTTGAGATTAAGACTGCCAGTGTTCCCGTCGTTGATCTCTCTCAGTCAGGGACTGACGGCCATGAGGGACATTAGACGAGCAGGAAGGGGACATAAAACTGTGGTGGGGAAATAATCGCTCACACCTCCTCTGGGAGAGCTCCTAGTCGGGGGACGGGAAGCGTCACGCTGGGTGTTGCGTTGCGTCGCTGGTTTACAACACTAACCTTTGCGCTTGCTGCAAGATCTCAGAATAGCCGATGGCACTCGTGCATGTTAATAATCTGTGGGAAACATAGGGAGGCAGTGGCTGCAAGTACTGCTATGCTGAGCATCAGTGTTTACGGACCAGCGGTAACCACCAAGTGTGTTGTGCACACTGCCCTTCAAAGCCAAATAGCAGCGACTGTTTTGTAGTGACACTGGAAACAGGAATAGATCAAAGTTCATCTTCTGCTCTGTCACCGTGCAAGCTGATACTATATACCGGTTAAGCGACTTTAATCATGCCTTTTGACCTTTCAAACACAGAAAGTCCTTTTCATGACCGGTGTTCTCTATATGTGCTTCATGTGCACTACATGTCTGTGTGTGGTCCGAGCGACACAGCAGGTGCTCAGATGAAAATCTAAATGAGAACAGAGTCAAGACGCTTAAAAGGATTACAGAGTTGTATTGTCTTTACACAAAATGTAACGTTTGTATTTAATCAGCAGACCTTAAGGAGAAGAAACGAGGGACTGTAGAGGTGACGTGGTGGCTCATATTACACAGACCTGCACTGTCGAGCAAGTGCAGGCAGGTACTGACGAGGGAAACACACACACACAGTGTACAGATGCACACACTTGATCTAGAGACATTTTGGGTTTGGTTGGAAGATATGAGATGGCAGCATGTCAGATAATGATACACACGCATTTATGGAAACATGAAGTCAACTACATGTAGCTACTGTTACATTGTTAAACTCTAAAGATTTGTGTATATATTTAACATAACATTTAAGTTTTTAAGGAGTTACATTGCTGGAGCCTTGAAAGCAGGAAGAAGCAATATTTTTAATATTTAAGTAGAATTTTTGCTGAACATTGAACCAAGATTATTTTTTACACAGTCCATTCTTAATAGAACAAAAGACCACAACGACTGAAAAGAAGAGAGTCTAACACATTCATTCATGTATTTCACATTAATTATTCATGCAATCAAAATGAGCTTTTTTCGAAATGGGAACACAACTTTTGTTCCTAATTGGACAAGCCGTCCCCAATTAACTGTTCTAAACTAGTCTGAAATTTGTCCTTGAGGACAGAAGGAACACACACACACACACACACACACACACACACACACACACACACACAAACACACCTCTTTACCCAGATGTATATATACATATATATTTATATATATGTGAACAAAATGATGTGTGTGTCTTTGTTTCAGAACTGAAACGATAAATCGATTAACTGATTAGTCGATCAACATAAAATTAATCAACAATTTCGATAACAAAATCATTGTTTATGTCATTTATCAAGCTTCTCAAATGTGACAATTTACTCTTAATTTCTGTTTTATATCATCATATTGACTTCCTTTGGTTAAAGACTGTTTAAAGCCGTCACCTTGAGAACATTTTTCAAGATTGATCGTTGTACATTGAAAATAAACAAGAGATGTTTTAATAACGACAATAGTCATTAGTTGCTGCCCTATTTGGTAGCCGGAAATCATACAATTACCTTCATTTTGAAAACACAGCCAACAAAAACAGATTCACACCTTGTGTGTGTGTGTTTGTGTGTGTGTTTGTGCAGGCATACTTATGCTTTTGTGTGTGTATGTGTGTGTGTGTTTGTGAGAGTGTGTGTCAGACTCACTACCCTCTCTCCACTCTCCCTTTATGGTGGGGAGATTAGGTAGTTAATCCTGTAGATTTCAGAGAAAAGCCACTCCTGATGCCACAATGGATTTCACTCAGTCCACCAGAGAGAGGACAGACCTGCTGCCGATACCAATCTCGACCTCTGACGAAAACAGGGCCCGCACACACACACACACACACACACACACATACACACACACACACACACACACACACACACACACACACACACACACACACACACGTCCGGAGCACTTCACCAAGGACAGAATATTATATTACATATGTATTAGATGCATGCTATAAATAACATCGCAACCATATTGAAATATTATGAAACACACTCTTTATGATAATGCTTACTACTGTATTTAATCCATGTACTACTTACTGTATTGTATGAAATAAATGTAACACTTACGACATGTCTGATATATCCAGTAAAACCAGTAATTCACACCTAAAAGTCTCTCAGGCTGTTTAAAAAAGTCCATTGTTGTATTGTTTCAGCTCTGCAGGACATTCTTCACTCCCCATGACAGCACAAGCAGTCCTGGATACTGATTTGCTTATTTATTAATTAAGTCATTACACAGGGGTGAACAGCCTTTCCCCCGTGTCTTATCCTCTAAGTAACTGATCACTTCCCATGGACCAACTGCCCATGACTGCAAATACAACTGTAAACAGTCCCCTTTGAGTGCTACTGTGAATCCCAGAAGACTCAAGTTGAAGGACATTGAATCCATATCTAGCAGTGCTGTTCTGCAGGGTCCTGATCTTCAACCTTTCCTGTTCCTGAGGGTCCTGATCTTTAACCTTTCCTGTTCCTGAGGGTCCTGATCTTTAACCTTTCCAGACGTGACAGGCACTTTAGAGTTTTCTTAGTGGTTAACAAAGTATCATGTTGTTATTTGTTAGAAAAGGCTTGATTAAGACTTTTCTACAGCCGCAAAAAAAGACAGTTAAAGATTAATTATTGTGGTTGGATGAGGTGTAGCATATAAACACTAACAACAGTCTGTCATTACTTCTTATTTCCCCAGTAAGGCATTGATTATCCTCTGAACTCTCTGAGCCTCATTTTTTATTTATTTATCTTTTTACAGCTGCTTGTTTCTCAGGGGTGTGTGTGCAGTCATTCCTCCAGCCTAAGCTGCACTCTCTCCCACTCATGCTCCCACTACTCACAGCACTCCCTTCCTTGTTCAACCACCCATCTGGGGACTGCCGCCATGTTCTTAAAGAGGCTGCATCAAGCAGCACGTTGAGAAACACTAAACCCGGATATAAAGTAATTCTGACATCAAAATAAAACATATACTTAAAATGTAACATTGAAATACACCTTAAACATGATGCCTTCTATCAAGTGTATTGACCATGTTGTAATAAATAACATTTTCAGAATATATATATTGTCTTTATGTTTTATGTTCATCAATAATAATGATTAAATAATACAATAATGTAACACTGACAGGGCGACCCTGCATGCTCAAACGTTTGAAAAAGTACATTTTGTTACCAATATTTCTGTACCGTTACTTATGTAATTAATACACTTTTTAATTAGGACTTTTACTTGTAATGGTGTCACAACCTGGCTTATGAGCCATGACAAACATGTGAGAGCCACATGTCAATGGTTTAACAAAAGTAACTTATTTAACATAAGCAATTGAATTAAAGGTATAGCCAAATATTGAAAAGGCTGGGAGTGTGAACAGCAGTATAAATCAGCAATGTAAGGTGTAGGCCTACATGAGGGAGGAGGTGGTGAGTGGTGTAAGATGCACACAAGGAACCAAAAGAAAACTGAGGTAACGCTGCAGACTGAGGCCTGCAGGACAGAAGATTATAAGAGTGAGGGTGAGCAGACCAGTTTATTTAAAGAGAGGTATAGGTATTTTCCTTTAAGCAAATGATCTGAATACTTCCTGGAGGCTGTCGGTCACATGCGAGCCAAGTATTTTGCACTTTGCTTGTTCTGTTGAGAAACAAAATGCTGATTTAAGATAAAGTGATCATCTGAAGAACCTAACCGCTGAATATTCTAAATATTTTACTTTTGAGGATGCAGAGTTGGATGGATGCAGCTCCCATTTTACCCAACCTTACACCTCTTTTATTTATGTGCCCCCACTTTTAGAACAGTGCTATGGAGTAAGAGTATCAATGATACAGAAATGTACATAGAATATCGACTTTTCTGGTATTCTTTACCATTATGGGATGCATATATACTGTACAAATATGTAGTTACAAGTACATGTAAGTATATGCCATTACTTGTACCGACACAATATATTTTTGCCTACTGCACCTGCTGCACATGTTCATATTGTCCATACTGTAAAGGTAATACATCTTAGCATATTCATTTCACACTGTTCATACTGTCCACACTGTATTTCTTAGGGTATTCATATATACCCACTACGTTTTATTCTATACAGGCCTATTCTATTTATCCTATACATAAGCTTACTCTGCTCTTTCCTGCTTTTTTGCACTTGTGGTCAGTAGGCATACTTGTACTATGTGCAGTGTTACCAAGGACCTTGTAATAAAGTAATAAAATCACCAAACAGCTTTAAAAAAAAGAAGAATGCGCATACTGCACAAGAAAGCTCAAAGCGGTTTTATTTTGTAATGAACAACCGGAAGTCCCACGTGTGTTTCCGCTGCTACACTGACGTTAGTTTTGAGAGGCCGGCTGACAGCTGAACGTAAAGGTACAGCGACGCAGTAACATTAGGCTCACAACAATCACAACTAACTCCCGGTTTAAAGAGAAGGACCGACAGATTTCGCCGCGTGACGCGTCTTTCGCACCGACCGGCGGACGTGTTTAAGTTTATCAGAGGAACCGGTAACCTTGCGGATATTTTTTTTGTTCCCTTTTCACCAAGAGAGAAAAAAGATCCGTGTCCGGATGTGCCAGCAGTGTTGGGCTTTTTTCTCGCATGGCGTAGGCACCTTCTTCTAAAGCCGGATATTCTTGATGTTTGGTGGGTCGGAGGAGGCCCTCGGGTCCACAGTGTGTCCCGCTCACATTAGCCAAACCTGCAAATGTCCCAATTTGTGTGGGAAATGATCAACGGGCGGATTGAGCAATAGAGAGGAAGTAAGCGTCGTAACACATCCCGACTAGAAAGTCACCGGGATTACGTGGTGTTTTTGTTTGCTGCTCGAAACCCAAACAACAACAACAACAACAACACCAACACCAACAACAACAACACCAACAACACCAACAACAACAACAACAACAACAACGACGTTTGTTTGAGCTCTTACAAGGGAGACGAAAAGAGGAGATATTTGCTTCCTTGTCTCGTGTGACTGTGTGTGTGTGTGTGTGTGTGTGTGTGAACCCCTCAGAGGAGAACCTTCACGATGACGGGCAGCAGCACCCCAGCGGACATGGTGAGAGGATTTCACACTTACCCATTTACATCCATTAATTTCCTCATGGGGGTTAAGAGTGTTCTTCTAGTTTTATTTATTTTATTTGAGAACATCGCTGTACACTATAGACCCAGTGTGACATTTTGTTTATGAACTACAAGGTCACATCGTAGTGCAACTTGGAAAGGAAACTGGCATTTTAACTTTATTCTTATCAAGTTTTCCTATAGTTCCAGGTAGCCATCGGCTCCCATTGATTTCTCTATAGTATTAAACTTTATACGCACACTACCGACACATCTTCATGTTCTGTAATCTATCACAGTGAACACCAAGTCACATGACTACAGACATTTAACCCCCGGATAGATGTGAAAGTTTCCACTGAATGGCATCAGGATGTTAACGGAAGTCTGACTAAATGAACGCAGACTTGATGTTCATTCGAGGTGAAGCGGTGACGTTATATAGTAATAAGTCGAATGAGGAGATTTATTGCCAGTTTTGATGACAAGTAGCCATTTATCAAGCAAGCATGAGCTGGTTCCAGCTTTTCAAACGTGAGGATTTCCTGTTTTCTCTGTTTTATGGAGCTGTGTATTGAACCCATTTGGTTTCAGACTGTTGGTCGGTAAAACAAACAATTTGAAGATGTCGACGGGAGCTTTGGGAAATTTGTGATAGGCTTCTGTCGGTATTTGAAAAATAATAATTTATGGACTAAATGAGTAACTGGGAAAAGTAATCGTATCAGTAATAAAAGATAAAGTTAGTCGCTGCCCTGATGCTCACTGCGATGGATTACAAAACAGTTTCAGTTGAGTAGAAGGCGAGGTGCTCTTCTGCAGGTCTGAAGTGCACAGTGACGGGTAATTTAATTGCCTACTACAACCCCATCATGTCCCACCTACTGATGTAGTGGTGCTTTTAAAGGAGGCTAAACTATGACCTTTCAGTCTGTGGTCACCATCGGGTGACTTTATCCCCTCACCCTCCCAAAGACACTATCCTTTTATGACTTTATTCTAGATTACTGACTGTGTTATTATGAACTCTCATCATAAAGATTTATGTCAGCACCTCATTGGGCGAGCTACTCCGCAAATTAAAAGCCGTGTGAAATGAGTTCAATTGGGCTCAGCCACTCTCAGACGTGACATTTCCCCCTCTTGTCTGTCATCTTCGCTGCTAGTATGGCTCTTAAGATTAATTCCGGGTCTATGTATAGAAAGGATAAACCACGTAATGTGGCCCTCCACGCAGAGATCAGCTAACCCAGCTCTGCCTGTACTCCTGCGTCCAAAGACTCTGATCCCCTGAACAGCAGGTCCATTATGTCGTTGGGATAATACCGTGTGGAAGTTAGAGGTGAGCCGGCCTCTACGTACATGTGGTCCGGTCGAAGCTAAAGCATCTAAGTATAGTGCATCGCAAAGACTTTCAGTGGACTGGATTCCCTGACCTCTTATGACTGGTAGCTAAATAACAAACGGTTTATAAAGTTGTTTGTTCCGTCACTATCTGTGTATGTGGGAGGCTTCGTATTCAGACCTTTAGTCGCAGTGTTATGGGTCAGTTTATAGTCCTTTATGGTGTTTTATCTTGTGTGTTATACGATAATCATTCAGAGAAGTTTGGTAGACGCCCTCCATCCGCCCTGCTGAACTGTCTTTGAGCAACACGCTGACTCCCTGCCAGCTGGTTTATAGCTCAGCCTTTTGCTCTGAGAATTTCCCTATTGGGGGGGGAAGTATCACGTTATTATCGCATCATTTCTCGCCAGTGTCGGGGCATAAAGTTCAACGGCAAAGTAATAATATTTCCAACTGCCGACTCTCAAGCATTGTTTTAATATGGTGTATTTATTCCTTCCGGCTCATGCTATTAACATGCCTGCAGCAGAAACACAAAAGGTCAAGTTCTGCACACGAGTAAGACGTTTCAGGATTACTGCCAGTGGAAAATCTTCAGAGTGTGGCTGTTCTTCTGTGGCTTAGCGCAATCTATACATCAAACTAGCTCCGTCCCCGAGGAAATTTGGGGGAAATATCAGCTGTGTGCATTTAAACTCGTGCTATGTGGTGGCAATCAGCAGCAGATGCACTCTTCGTTTTTTTCCCTCCATCAACTCTCGCTCCGTCTGGGGAATGAGCAAGTGTACACACCCACGCACACACACTTATAAAGGCTGTGTAGAGTGGGAGCGAGTAGTAGGAGGTGCCAAACATTGTGGGTGAATGAATCTGAGAGAAAGAATAGGAGAAGGAACAGTCATGCCTCTTGAGAATGGAGGAGGAGGAGGAGGGCTAATTGCCTCGCTCTGGGTCGACCTCAGAAGTGCTGACGGGGGCTCGAAATGGTTCCCATAGCAACAGCGAGACGCTTTGATCTGAAAGTCTGGAGCGTGAGGAGAGGGGTCGGTGTGTAACGACGAAGCTGAGACAAGAGAGTAGCACAGAAGCAGGAGGAGAATAAAAAAAGCACCTCGGTGCAGACAAGAGCCGCTGAATAAATACACTGAGAGGCCTACGCGGAGCAGAGAGTGGATTTCAAACATTAGCGCTTTCGATACATCCCAGCGCGGCAGACAACACGGGATGTAGACATACATACATACATACATACATACATACATACATACATATATATATATATATATATATATATATATATATATATATATATATATATATTAGAGAGAGAGGGAAGGAAGTACATGACGGCTCTACTTCATCGTGAGGGCTCATCAGTTGTAGCTGTTGCCTTTATTCATGTTTAGTAAGTTACTAATACTTGTTGTATTACATTAATAAGAAGAGCTTTTGGGTCAGAAAGGTCTTGTGTTGAGAATCCACGTAAACTTTTAGTCAATCAATTCATTACTTGCAACTATTTCAATGTAATATTGCCAAAAATTAAGTGGTTCCAAGCCTCTCTAATGTGGATAAACTGCTGGTCAGAAAAAAAAACAAGTCATTTGAAGATGTCTCCTTGAAATTTGGAAACTTACAACAAGTTTTCTAAGCTAGCTTCAGAAACAATAACTTGTCAGAAGAAAGCATCATTGTTCTCATAACTGACGTATAAAACATTAGTTAATAACTTAACCATTAATGACGCCAAAGCCCAAAGTGGTAACTAAATGACTCTGTGACTTCTTCTCCTGTTTGGAAGTGTTTACTTAAGTTGAACAGGCACACATCTGATACTGATACGATGTGAAGAAATAAATACCGTTAGCACACGTACACACTCGTGCACACTCTGTGGGTAGTATTTAAGAAACCCTGTCATTTGTGCAGTGGTGAGTACGCATTGATCAGGAGGTACGATAGAACGAATTAACCCTTTAGATGCCTTCAATATTTCAGTTCTCAGACCCTCATCATCCCTTCATTTAGTCGAGCAGCACCTGCACCACATGAGGCCGGTGGGGTCAACTATTAATGTTGGGCAATGCTGCTGGTGTCCTTTGACGGAAACAATAATAATAAAGTTAGTATAACTTAAGCTAGAAAAAATATCGTGACTTTATAGGTTGTTATTTAGGGCTGCGACTAATGATTATTTTTAAACCTAGATAATCATTTAGTCTATAAAATGTCAGAAAATAGTCAAAAATAATGACTAAAGCCCAAGGTGATGTCTTTTAAATGTCTTATTTTGACCGACAAATAGTACAAAACCCAAGATATTCTGTTCAGTATTGTAAAAGGTGAAAAGAAACCAGCAAGAATTGACATTAGAGAAGCTATGACCAGCGATATTTATTTGAATAAACTAAACATCTCCCTAGAATACTGTATTTTTGTGTTACTGTACCAGTATGCGGCTAAAAGCTAGTTACCTCTGCTACTCTGTGTGTGGCTAATTATAATTATGGTGCTTTAAAAGCAGTTTATAGTTCATTCCCACATTGTTAGAGTCCCCTTGGGGACACACACACACACACACACACAAAGGAGTCAAAGGTTGGGGTCGGAGGTCAGCGTTTTGCGTTTCAAAGAACAATGGCTGGGGTGTCCTTGCCGCTCCCTGTCCTTCTCCCCGACCCGAGCTTAGCTCAGCACTTAATGACATCGAGTAGCAAGAGACGGAGAGAGAGAGGTCAGCATGCGGGTCTTCAGCCTTGGGCGGGGGGGCTTTGATTGACACATTCAGCGGGAGAAAAAACGCTATTGAACCCTGACAGGTGGATGATGCATTGTCAGTGAATATTGTGCAGTCGATGCCATGTGTCGAGAGTCTGAGTCACAGATCGGGATTACATCACCCCGCTCGGGTGCAGGAGTTGATATATCGATTGTGACATTGTCACATGGAGACCTCGCAGCGCAGTGGAAAGTTCTGAAGATGCAGGAGTTGTGCTTGATTATTCATATTCACTTCAAGCATATCAGGAAACTGATGACTCAGAGTCGAAGTGCTGACAGATTGCGTAATGCAGCAGCTAAAATATCTAATACCCAGTCGTTAGAGGTATTACTGAACACTGAGTTGGTGAATAGTAACAGAGAAATGAATGGATGTTTAACATACATTGATTGGCTGTGAGGCTGTGCTTTGTCTCTGTAAGAAGGATTGCAAAGCATTTCATATTTGCGGGTGACAGTTGCTGGTATTATCAAGCATTAGCATGTTGTCGATTGTGTAGAATCAATTTAATTGTATTGATGCACGTCTGCCACACCAACAGGAAGTCCTGTGGACAACCTCTCATCCATTGGTCGCTTACGTAACTGTTTGTCTGTGTATTGTTCAGTGTGTCTGTGCATGTGCGTCAATGTGATGTCCTGTATGAGTAAGGACACCTGCTGTGTGTGTGTGTGTGTATATATATATTTCATTTATTTTCCTGTTTGTTCTCTTTGTGGACATGTACTCCTCCAGTTGACACATCTCTTCTGTTGAATAGAAGCTAATGGAAGTAAATTTGTCTGTTTTTTTAATTAAAAAAAACGTTATGAATCGATAATCGTTTCATAATTGCATCGTAGCCCTCTGAATCGGAACGGAAC